ATCCAGTCGGTAACCGCTCTGGTCCAACGGTCATCGCAAAATCGCATGACGTGTCCGGCCCACCTTATCTTCGATTCCTTGGCGAAAACGGCAGCGTCCCTGATCTTCGATCGTTGGCGTAGTTCGAACTCCGGATTCCCCTCTGCACTTGCGTGTATAGGGTTACTCCTAGCATCGTCCTCTCGACAGCGCGTTGGATAACGCTGACCGCATGCTCGTCCTGCCTGCGCAGAGTCCAAGTCTCTGAGGCGTAGGTTAGGGCAGGAAGGACAGCGGAATCGAAGAGGTGGGCACGGAGCCGGATGTTCTTCGTCTTCTTCACTACTCCCTCGATGTTCTTGAACGCTCCCCATGCCGCTCGTTTCCTCCTGCTCAGCTCTGGAGCTAGATCGTTCATCATATTGATTTCCCGACCTAGGTACACGTAGCTGGAGCTTAACCCTCTTTATCGTTTAAAGGGATGAATGTTTCGTTTTCCTCGTACGTTCTTCAATCACATATCAAGCTGGCGCATGGATACATATTTCAATGATTGATCGCCGACTCCGGAACGATTTCCCAGTGATTAATAAACAAGGCGAGGAAAAGGTGAGAACGAAATGGCTTCAGGGGTCGGGAAGCACATGTCGGAAAGGAAATATGATATTCCTAAAAGCTAAAAAACACAGCTTCTTAGGTCTCCTAAGTTAAGCAATACAACTTTAACAGAACACTTGAGAATTCGAAATCAATTTCACCAAAGTGGTTGTTGGATTGAACGTTGGCACCGGAATGAAAACACGAATGGAGATTATCCGTCAATGGCAAATCATAATGGAAAAGTATTAGACTCTTCAGATCAACATTCATAACAGAAGCAATTTTCGAAAAGAGAGGCCAAATTGAGCAGCTTAAAAAGTAGTCGAAAAGGAGTGTGTAGTGTAAATGCACAGCGTACCACGTAAACCACGCGCGTTGTCGAGAAGGAACGGAGCTGGCTCACGTACATGAGTTCGGCACGGTCAGACAGTGTCGAGATGATGAGTCGAGTGATCATGTCGTTACGGGGATCTCCCCACAAACAATTTGTTTTGAAACTGAAGTGATAAGATTGGGTCGCATTTACTATCCTTTAGATAACGAGAGAAGGTCAGAAATACTGGATGTATTCGATCATCAACAGACATCGTTCAAAAAAAAACTTTCCGGAAATGGGGAGCACATTTGAGGAGGGTGCTATGTGAGATGGGGGGCGGGAAGCCTTCGATTCTAATAATTCAATGGACTCCAAAAGAGGCTCAAAGTTGCCAAACTGCCAATTCACAATTATATATTTCCTGTCTTCTACCCATGCTTCCATGTCTCGACTAGTCCTTCCGCAGTTGAAAACACTCCCCCCCCCCCCCAACTCACTTAGCACCTCCTTAAAGTGTTATGATCTGAGTCGAAAAGTAACTGCAATGCGGAAGTTCTCGTAACATGATAGTTATAACGAATCGATTTTCCCTTGCATGGCCACATAGCTTCTTTTAACAAAATTATCAACATGTGGAAATACACATACGCAACATCGCAAACGCTCCACTAAAAATGCCTTTGCTATATAATCACTTCACCTCTTCTTTTGCGTGGGATCTCTTCTCATCGCACCACCCATCTTCTAACCGCCAAATGAATCTTCTCGTCCGAGAATATCAACCCTAATACAAAAATTTCCTCATCAGGATACTCTCTACATAAAGTGTATTTATTTATGAGCGTACTGTGTACTACAGAGCAGAGAGTAACCATCCGCGAAGTTTTCTATCATTAGTATTGCGTTTTCAATAATAAAAATGCCGGGGAAGAAAATTAGGTACACTCCTCAAAGGATTCAAAATCTTGCTTCGACAGTGGAATCCCGGACACACTATACGAAAGAGCAGCATTAAACCAATCTTTTTTGAAAAAGTAACCCGTCTTTCAAAGAGGCTCCACATCAACGAGCGGTCGATAGAAGGGAGAGCTTTCCTAGTAGTGACAGGCTGTCGTACCCACAAGCAATCTGCATCAAACAGATATCTCCCAAGCGATCCAGCATGTCCTCCTCGCCAATTGGCCTGGAACGCCCACCGATCTTCTAATATCACCGCTCGCGTCTATATAGCCGACCCGCTCGGGTACTAGTCAGGCAAGAGAGCGTAGCGTCAGTGCAATACCATGAGCCCATCAATCGAAGCCTAACTACAATGAATGGTTCCATTCTCGGTTCTCGGCTTTCTCATGACTTCATCTACCTATCCCTGCACACTGACATCCCTTAACCATATTTCCAAACTGACTTCCACATCTATATAATATCGCTCGCTTTAAAGCATTCTTGGTAGTTCTCTGGTAACTCAAATCTAGAACCTCTTTCCAAACATCAAAATTAAACATACCAAAAGAAAGTATAATAAACAAAATCCACCAGTACCATAAAAACCTCGTCTCGAACATAATACCACCCAACTCACCCCCCCCCCCTCACTCCCCCCTTCAGCCAAAAAGGGGGACAAACACATCCGGTCCATCTCGAATGATTACTTCTGCAGCTTGCAAAACTTTCCGTACCTCATAGTCTTGTTTTACTGCAGAATCGAAACTGCAGTTGATTCGAGGGAGTAACACCTTCCGGAAGATACTTTAATCTCCGCATGTCCATTCAAGGGAATTTCATCTCCAAATCGAAGTCGTGTAATTTCTTCATTTCCTTGAAAAGTTATGGGCCGCCACAAGATCATTCCAAAATGCAACGAATATATCATCATATACTACCAACAGAAAATGACAACATGGAGAGTATAACTTGTACCCTGAGAAGCAAAGCGCAGCAATTAATCTTTTAGAGAGAACTTATCGAATCCTCTCCGCCCTCTCATAGACTAGCTCCACGTCACACTTTTCTGGATCCTCATTTGACAAGTCTACATAGAATATGATGAAACCCCTATTATCTAAGTTGTATTTGCATTATACAATGGGACACGCCACCTCTCCACCCCTTTTAGCTCCTATGCTTTTTCTTCTTGTGTGTCTTGTCTGAGACACTGTCACCCACTTTTTCAGTCTTGAATACAACATACTCAACAGGTTGTTTTGCACAAATTTCTTATTTTCTTTCGAATTCGGCCAGAAAAGTACGGAAGTAAGTCATAACATCAAATGAGCATTTAGTTCCGAATCCATAGAAAATACGCTGTGCAGTCGTGATTCAATTAGCTTTTCTCGTGGTGGTAAAGCTTCTACGAAAATAGGGTGGTGCTCGATGGGATATCAGACACTGTCACAGATAAACTGACGGTTATGTCCAAACTACATAAATCTGCTTGGAATTGTTGGTGAACAGCACCTTTTGAATAACCTGTAACCGACATAGGGTTCTGAAATACACTGCGACGCATAATCATACTTCCACCTACAAATTTCCCAAAAACTTGCATCTGAAGATGTTTTCGAAAAAGGTTCTAGTGAGGAAATTGTGACACATATAAACGCTGTCTGAATATCAATACAGAATTCCAGTTTGAGAAAGCAACAATTTTTTATTTTCATTTTTTGAAAATACTCGCTCTGCCTATGGCGCAAAATCATAGTTCCACCACATGTTTCTCCGCTGCATTTTATTTTTACCCAATCAAATTTTGAAATTATTATCCCTTCAAGTTCCTTAGCTTATAGCAAAGGCAAAACCGCTGTCAGACTTCCGTAAAAGGAAAATCCTAGCAAAAGAGACGCAGGAATTGTCGAAGTGTCAGCTCACG